CAGAGGACAGAGAAAGGTTCCCGGCTCAGGAGCTCACCGGCTCGGAGCTGATGCCATGTCTTCCCGCTGACAAGGGGGGATGGGCAGTCCGTGTTGGGCCGGAGAAGACAGGGAATTTCCTGGAAACAAAAGGAGTTTCAGCAGCTGTTTGGGAATATTCCTCCAAGTCCCTGTCCTGAAGGACGCCTGGGATCATGACCTGGGTGGACGGCAGACGCCCCCCCCCCCGCCCCACCTTAAACATAAGGGTGAGAGCTCCTGTGACTTTACAACCTGTCTCTGTCTGGATCAGTTTTCCCGTGGGCTGTCAGGGCTGCAGAGATCTCCCCACACACGCCACTGAGAAGCCTTGGGAGCACCGTCTTCCTGCACCTCTGCTTTACGCTCCGGGTGGGAGGAGGACTGTGGTCCCCACACTTCCTGACCGGTTGTCTTTGTCCAGAGCTCATTCCCACTGCTGCCCCCCTGCCCTGCCTGATAGGCTTTGCTTCCTTACAGCCTTTGGGATCTTTTACTTGGGTCACAAATACCCTACTTTGGTCCTTCCTATTGGCACAGAATGGGACCCGTGGGGGCAGAGTTTGGGCCACCTGAAACCAAGAATCAATGTATAGGACTTGGTCAGGGTGTCCGGGGGTCCTGACCTGGACAGTGGGTAGGTCTCAGGGCCCCTCGGAGGGCTAACCGACCCCGCAGGTGGCCCGTTCCGGTTCACATAATGGGCCTAATCTTCCAGGAGACGTGTTCAGCCCACAGCCTCCTGAGAATCGCTTCTTAAACCTTTCGTGCATACAGTCGAAGGCTGTACGTTTTGACAAGCATGACCCACGACGAGCAGGGGATCTCTCGGCCACCCTGTGTACTCCCTCCCTGTGGCGCCGGCGCAGAGACAAAGGGTGGGTGTCCCTGCAGAGAGACCAGGCCCAGGCCCGCCTGTCCGCCCTCCCGGAGGAGACCTATGTGCCTCTTGGCCACAGCGAGTCCATATAAACCCCAGACTGGCGCCCCAAGGGCTCGCCTTAGACCCTATGAGCTCACCCCGGAGCAGGTCAGGGCCCACTCGGACTCCGTAGACTTCTGGGGGCCCTAAGGGTGCCGCCCGTGGAGCCACAGACTCCGGCCGCCTGACCCCCCAGGTCAAACTGCACATCCGCTCGCGCTTTCACACCGAAGTTCTTACAGTTCCTCCCCCCAGGCCCTGACCTGTGCAATTCCTTTCCTTTGGGAAGTTCTTTCCTGTCCCCCCTTTCGGGGGGTTCCTGACCTGAGGGAATCCCCCCGACCCCCCGGAGTCCCTACCTGTGAGACCTCTGGGAGGTGTCTGGGAGGAGATCAGTCTCCCCTTCCGCCCTGATGGGGTCCTGGGGCCCCGGGCCTCGCCAGAACCCGACGTCGCCACCAGGTCCTCACCTGCCAAGTCTTGTGTGAGTCCGGGCGGGACCCGCAGAGCGGCCCGGCTGTGCCCCGCGCGGGAGCCGGAAACCAGGCAGCGCGCCTTCTTCTTTACGACCCTTGTGCGTCACCGCCGCGGCGGCCGCAAACCCGTGGCCGCGATGGTGCCCGCGTGGGAGCCACGTGTTAGGAACCTGGACTGGGTCCTGGCCCAAAACCCAGCGGCCCTCCGAGAGCTTGGAGGACCGGAAGCTCATTGAGCACAGGCGGGCTCCGAGGACACTGTCCCCCGAGGGTGTGAGCCCCGAGCGCAAGCAGGGGGGCTTCATCCCCTTCCACGGCACGTGCGCGGGAAGCGGGCTGAGAAAGACGAGCCCAGGAGGGCGTGCGGACAGGGCTGGGTTCCGTCGCCGGTTTGCTCGGGCGCCGTCGAGTGCGGGCTTCCCCCATCACCGTCCCCGCGGGGGTCCGCCTTTCACCGGGCCGCGCGCTGGTTTGCTGGCAAGGCAGCCAGACCCCGTGGGGGGCGTGTCTCCGGGCCGCTCCCTGTCCCGACAGGCGCCGGCCGACCGGGAGGAGAGACGGGTTTAGGCTGAGGTCCTGGTCTCCGTGCTTTGCAGCGGGAGAGAGGAGGAGAGAGAGAGCGTTTTGTACTGTCTGTGAAGAAACCCAGGAAAATCTTTGAGAGAGTTTTGTTTGCCCCGCTGCGGGGCTCTTTTTAGGGAGACGGGCTCTCATTAAGCGGGGCCACCGCACGGGCTGGAGGACTCCCAGTAAGCTCGGGGAGCGCAGAGCTTCCGACGGGGCGGAGCGCGCGGAGCGGGTCGCCCCGGGGCAGGGGGGTGGTGGGAAGGGGGAAAGCCACCTGGCGGCCGCGGCTCCTCAGCCCTGACCTAGCGCCCCGCAAGCGGCGGCCGGGACCGGCGGCTCCGCGGACTCTGGCGCCCCCTGGCCTCGGCAGCGGGAGGTGCAGGCTTCGGGGCGGCGTCGTGCCCGGCCCGCCCGGCAGTCTGGGGAGAGGCTGCCTTCAGTCTGGGACGCAGGAGGAGCCCACCCAGAACCCCGAGATCTCCGGGGGCCCCGCAGGCCTCACAGCCCCGCAAGAGGGGCTGTTTGAACTAGAACTGATTCGAGGTCCTAGCTGGTTTTGATGCTCGGGGGCTGGGGAGGACCCCTTCGAGAAGGATCAGGATAGTGTGTGTGTGGGGGGGGGGGTGCCTAGGGTCAGCTGGGGCGGGGGGACGGACTGGGGGCTGAGGGTAAGGGCCCCTGGATGTGTGTATTGGGGGATGGACAGAAACCTGACACACTCCTTCTTAAGGCTGGTCTCCTGGGGATGGTTGGTCTCGTGTTATCCCCACTGCTGCCTCCGGACCGAATGAAGGATTTGCCTTAATAACTTCCCTGGCAAAGCTAGCCCCCAGATGTGTCCGGCCTGCTTCTTCCTGCTTCTCTAGATGCTCCTTTGCTTTGGTCTGTTCTGTCCCCTTTTTGTCTTGGATCCCAGAGAAGGCTGGTCGCGGAAAGGCTTGACCACGGTCATGCGCACCAAGTCGGACGCTGCCTTGCTGTGACACCTCTCCCCGGGCCTTACACTCCAGGCGGGCTCTCTAACTGGGAGATGAGGCTGTAGCGCCCTGCTCAAGGCCCACCTGGGAAGCACGCTGAGTGGTTTTCATGCTCGGAGAGGGCTGTCCCTGTACCTCTGGAGAGTTCAGAAGGAAACTTGGCTCATCAGCCCTCACCTAGAGCGGGTCTCTGGAGAAGCAGTGTTCGTCTTCCCTTGTACCCACTTGCTGTGCCTGCGGGGTGGAGGGCTGAAGGCAGCAGCCTCTTCCTGCCCAGGCTGCTCAGTCCCTGGGGCCTGGGCCAGGATATAAAAAGGCGGCTTTTGAACCAAACTTGGGCGTCTTAGTTTTAGGGGCTGCCCAACTGGGGCTGGTGTGAGGGAGTGCCTGGTATTTGCTCCACGCTTGTCCCACACCTGGTGGCCCTCACGGGAGCAGCAGGAGCTGTGGGGGACGCATGCAGAAGAACCCCTTGCTGGTCTCAGAGAAAAACCAGAAGTGGCCGCTGGGTACATCCGGGGTAGCTTCCTGCAGCCACTTGGGGGGCGGGGGGTGGGGCAGGGAGCGGGGGCTGCGACACTCTCTGTAGATCCGTGCTGTCTGGATTGTACAGTGCACAGTGCTATAGACCAGGACAAGCAGACCATCCGAAGGTCTGAAGAAAGAGGTGGAGGGTCATTCCTGCCAAGGGGGATTCAGTAATAGCCCTCTGCACTGCGTGTTCTCCCCCTCCCAACCCCAAGGACACTACGTGAAGTCTCAAGCATACTTGACGCTTCTTCCTGCTTCAGGGCCTTTGCACATGCTGTTCCCTCTGTGTGGAGGGCCCTTACCTCTCTGACCACCACCACTTCCACTACTGGCCTTGCTTACTCTCACTCTTCCTGCAGGTCACAGCCCAGGCTGTGGGGATGTCGCTCGCTTGTGCCTTCCCTGTCCCCACAGTCTTGCCTCCAGCCCAGTCATTGTCCAGTCACTTGTCTTTTGCCCCCACGGGACTCCTTGAACACAGGAACTCACTCACTATGTGATCCCAGTACCGGGCAGTTTCAGACATGCCGGAAGTGCCCAATGAGGTTTGTAGAATGAGCCATCCTACGCAATGGTATGGGAGCGCCAAGGGACTGGAACAGCTTAAGATCCTCAGGAATTGTGGGTCATCAGGTTAGGATTGTGAGTTGTTTTGTAACCTCCTTTCTGTAGGCTTCCCTTTCCTGGTCTCTGCCGTCCCCCACCCCCACCCCTTTGGGTCTCACTCTCCACCCAGCACACAACTCTGCAGCCACCTGGGGTCTCTCCCGTCACCCAGCTACTCCAAGCACGTACATTTTATCCACGAAGGCAGTGCTTAACACAAAGGGAACTTTCCTAAGAAGTCTGAGTGGAAGGGCTTCAAAGAGAGGAGCTTTCCCCTAACCCAGGGCCAGGCAAACATGGCCAAATCCAGCCCAGGCCTGTTTATACATGGCCTGCAAGCCAAGAATGGTTTTTACATTTATAAGGGTTATTAAAAACATAGGAGCAGTGGCAGAGACCGTAATGTGGCCCACAACATCTGATATATTACCTTTGACCCTTTACAGAAAGTCTGTTGTCCCCTTGCCTTACAGACAGGAACACGGGGGGACTACAAGGTTTACCTAAAATGGCACAGATGGGCCAACATCAGAAGGAGCTTGCATGGGCTGGTGGAGAGAGCACTGGAGATGGTGTCAGAAAACCTGGGCTCCAGTCCCCCCAGCTCTTGCCTAGTCTCCTCTCTGGGCCTCAGTATCCCCAACTTTATAATGGTGCTGACTCCAATCTTGCACTCGGATGCCCCTGATGTTGGTACGCACTGCCTCTCTGTGACGGTGCCAGGCCGCTGAGGAGGTGTTTGGAGCAGTTTGATCCGACAACACTATTTCTCACCAGTAGGCTCTGACTTTTCTCTGCGTGAGAACAGAGCCGTATGCATGTGTGTCTGCGGTGGGAGGTGGCTGTCACCAAGTGCCACCACCCTCCGGATTCATGCCTTCACGCTGTCCTTCCCCTCTACAGTGCCGCCCTCCAAACCAGACTGCGCCATCGAGGGAGAGACTCTGATTGGGAACAACATCCAGCTGACCTGCCAGTCGAAGGAAGGCTCTCCGGCCCCTCAGTACAGCTGGAAGAGCTATGATGTCCTCAACAAGGAGCGGCCAGCCCCAGCAGGTAACGGGGTCAGCGGGGAAGACGCGCCCCCGCCCCAAAATGCAGGTGATTGGCTAGGGCTGCCCAGGGCTAGAGCTCCTGGCCTGGCCAGTCAGGTCTCCCTGAAGGGCTGCCCTTGGCTCCCCCTTCCTCCCTGCAGCATGTCTTCTCGTGACAATCCTCATCTCATAGGTTGTTGCGGAAAATGAAAATGAGTCTCGTAAAGCACTCAGTAGAAGCACGTAATAAGTGTGCACCTGTTACCTTTGTTCCCCGCAGCTCAGCTCCTGTGAGGAAGCATGTCGGGTAGCCACTCTGTGCAGAAGCACCGGGTGGGATTTTAATGTTGACTGTGATCGTGTCCTTTTTTTTTTTTTCTTTTTTTAATATTTTATTTACTTATTTGACAGAGAGAGACACAGCGAGAGAGGGAACACAAGCAGGGGGAGTGGGAGAGAGGGAAACAGGCTTCCCGCAGAGCAGGAAGCCCGATGTGGGGCCTGATCCCAGAAGCCTGGGATCATGACCTGAGCCGAAGGCAGCCGCTCAACAACTGAGCCCCCCAGGCGCCCTGTGATCATGTCCTGAAGTACACATCTGAGGCCTCAAGTCCAGGGCTGTGGCTCCACTCAAGGACAGGAATTCCCATCCGCATTCCCTATCCAGCCTAGTCCATCTTGGGCTCCACAGAACCCCACCTTCCCAAACATGCCCTTCGTTTCTGACCACACCCAACTGCTCGACCACGTCGGCCATAAGGGTCCTCTGTTCTCAGGGAAGGAGACGTTGGGTCCGGCTCTGGTTGCCTGGAGACCTGCTTTGTGTGGGCAGCTGGCATTTGACCTTCGGTCAGGAAACAAACTGAAAAAAAAAAAAAAAAAAAAAACCCTATATAAATATCTTACTGTCATCACCGTGGTGTCCACTGGTGTGGGAACACCTCGGGCAGCATCTTGGATCCCCAGTACCCCCGGCACAGCCAGTTCCCCTGGAGTTCCGAACAGACAAGTTCTGAGAGGGGCCGGTTGGCTTAACTTCTGGGGTCTCTCCGCTCAGTGTGGGTGAGGAGGAAGGGGGCAGGGACGGGTAAAGCCGTGGGTGGAGACGGGTGGGAAGTGGGGTGGGGGGCGCTAGGGAAGGGCCTCCTGGGGCCGGGTCAGTCGACAGGGTGAATGTACAGACTGGGGCTTTGGTCGAACAGGATGAACTTTGTCAGTTTGTCTTTCACTCATTTGGGAGCCAAATGAGAACTTTAAAAAAAAAAAAAGAAAGAAAGAAAGAAAGAAGAAAGAAATGAAAACAAGAACAGAACCCTCTCACTCCAAGGTAAATTAGAAAGGATATTGTGGATCTCAATAGGTTTCCAGTTCTGTTTACAAATTTCTGGCTGGCAAACTGTTATCGAGTGTGTCTGGAATTTCTGGAAACCCCCGGCAGCTCTTCTGTGGGTCTAAGGTGCTGCTTGTCTGGCCTGTGCGTGACCCAGTGACTGCAGCAACAGTCACCAAGGTCTGCTGCGGACAACGGCTGGTCGAACCTTCCTTCCAGCAAGGCCAAAGGCTATATGGCGAACGCCGTCATAGTTTTATAGCCAAGGGTGTTGTAAGTCAGAGGATGCATAAGGGGATAAAAGGTTTCTCCAAGGAGGGGGCACCCAACCTGGCACTAACAAGCTGGCTAAGAGCATGGTGTGGGCTTGAATCCTGGCCCTGCCACTTGTTAGCTACGTGACCATGGCAACAGACTTAGTCTCTGTGCCTTAGTTTCTCCATCTGTAAAATGGACATAAAACTAGTACGTACTTCATAGAGTTCCTGAGAAGATTAAATAAAAGTCCATGTAAGGCGTGGAGACCATGGTGGTAGGTAGTTAGAACTCCGTGAGGCTAGACGTTATTAGCTGTGTGGCATGTGAGCTGCACCCTTCAGGATGAGTGGGGTGGGCATGACAGATATCCTGGGAGTGGTGAGTATTCCGTGCCGTCCAGGGTAGGGAGCATGCGCTGCAGGGAGGAGGGAGGTACTGCTGTGAGAGCAGCAGCGATGGGGGTTCCTGAAGAACCTGTGCATTGGGCCAGGGCAATCCTTCATCCTCCAGTGATTCAAAAGAGGAGAAACCTGAGGACACGAAAGAAGGTCAAGGGGAGACGCTAATACATACTTTGGAAGAACGTCCCTGCTCCAAGTTAAGATTTGCTCAGAGTGGGGCACCTGGATGGCTGAGTTGGTTAAGCGTCTGTCTTCGGCTCACCTCATGATCCCAGGGTCCTGGGATCGAGCCCCGAGTCAGGCTCCCTGCTCAGTGGAGAGCCTGCTTCTCCCTCTCCCGCTGCCTGCTGCTTTCCCTGCTTATGCTCTCTCTCTCTCTCTCCCTCTCTCTCAAAAGAATAAATAAAATCTTAAAAAAAAAAAAAAAGGTTTTGCTCAGAGTCAGAGTCCAGATCTGGGCGTGGCAGCCAGGAGTGTGGTTAACGGTGAAACAACGCAAGCCTGCGCCCGGTGTTGGGATGGAGGGGGCTTGTCCTCTGGCTCTGGACTCCACCTGCCTCACGGAGCCCCGGAGGAGGAGCAAACCCAGCTCTGATTTTTGAAACATTTCCGTCCATAGGGCACAGTTTGAGAGTCAGGTTCCTCCGCCCTTCTCTGTCTGAAGACAGTAGAGATTGCTTCCTTCCACATAGTCGGCGGTGGCAGCAAGTCAGCAGGGAAAGGGACAGGGAATCTGGAATCGGTATATAAGAACTTCAGTCCCAACGTCTCCACTTAGTGGCTGTAAATCACTCACAGCCTCTCTGACCCTAGTATCCTCCTCTGAAAACCTAGGAGGACCAGCATACCACCCTCCCTGAAGGCTGTGAAGAGCAAAGAGGAGACCCCCCGTGTGATAGTTCTAGGCATCCTTTGTAAGCCAGCTAGCTTCATGCACTGAAAGACTAGGAATTTGGATATCAAATAAAGAAGGAGGAGTGCTTCTGGGGGCCACAGCGCCGGGGACAGGAAAGTTAAGTCTTGCCAATTTGACACCGGTGCCTCTGGGAGACCAGGGCTTCTCTGTGGGGAAATCTCTCCCCAGCTGGACCAGCCCAGGGAAGCGGGAGGCGGACTGTCCTGTAGTTCCTCCTGTTGGCCACGAGGTGTCGCCACTGCAGCGAAAACATTAGGTTTAGCTGGATTTCAGCACACGTTTTAGGTCCTTTCCAAGAGGAAAAGGGAGTTTGGAGCCCTGGCTCAGAATCAGAGCAGATCGGTTAGCACGAGAGATGCACTGGTTAATTCCAGACCAGCTTCTAATATCCCCTGCTTCCTTTTTTTTTTTTTTTTTAAGATTTTATTTATTGATTTGACAGAGAGAGATCACAAGTAGAGAGGCAGGCAGAGAGAAAGAGAGAGAGAGAGAGAGAGAGAGAGAGAAGCAGGCTCCCTGCCGAGCAGAGAGCCCGATGCGGGACTCCATCCCAGGACCCTGAGATCATGACCTGAGCCGAAGGCAGAGGCTTAACCCACTGAGCCACCCAGGCGCCCCTCCCCTGCTTCCTTTGGGGAAGAGTCCCAAGCTGGGCTCTGATAACCGGAAAGGTCCTGGAGGCCGTCTGAAGTCCTGTCCTGATCTGTGTGCGCTGCGCCGTGTACACGTCATACATGGGCGGAATCTCACACGCTCTAAAGGTGTAGGAATCTGATGAGGGCTAAAGTCCGCATAGGTATTCCAGGGTCATAGAACATTTCCCAAAGTGTGTTCCTTTAAGATGCCTCTATTTTTCTTAAAGATTTTATTTACTTGAGAGAGAGAGAGCAGGGGAGGGTCAGAAGGAGAGGGAGAGAGAATCCCAAGCAGACTCGGTGCTGAGTGTGGGGTCTGATGCAGGGCTCAATCTCACGACCTTGAGATCATGACCTGAGCCGAAATCAAGTCAGGTGCTCAACCGAATGAGTCACCCCGGTGCCCCAAGATGCCTCTTAAAAAAAAATCCAATTCGTTTAGGAAATAAGACTGTCAGGGAGAAGGAGTTAAGATGGCAGAGGAGTAGGGGGACCCTAAGTTTGTCTCATCCCTTGAATACAACTAGATAGTTCTCAAATCATTCGGAACACCGGAAACATCAATCGGAGTTTCTGAGTAAACAAATACTGCGAGTCTACAAGTAGAAGAGCAACCACCGTTTGGAAGATGGGGGGTGCAGGGGCTTGAATCCAGTGTGACGGAGCAGAGTGTAGACAGCGGGGGGCAGGGGTGCCGCTTAAGGAGGCTACCACAAAGCATGATGAGCAGTGGAGTGCAAAACCGGAACTTTGAGAAGTCTGCTACCATGGGGGACGTGCCTGGTTTAAAGGTGCAAAGTGGGGCGGAATTCCAGATGTGACACCATGATCTGAGGGTACAAACATAGTGATCCAAAGGGACACCTGCACCGCAGTGTTTATAGCACCAATGTCCACAGTAGCCGAACTATGGAAAGAGCCCAAATGGCCAATGACAGAATGGATGGATAAAGAAGATAGGTGTGTGTATATATGTATATATACACACATACATATATATAATGGACTATTCCTCAGCCATCACAAAAATGGTATCTTGCCGCTTGCAATGCTGTGGGTGGAACCGGAGGGCATCACGTTAAGCAAAGTAAGTCTAGAGAAAGACACATCACGTGACTTCACTCATATGTGGAATTTAAGAAACAAAACAAAGGAGCATTGGGTAAGGGGGGGGAAATAAAACGAGACAAAATCAGAGAGGAAGACAAACCATAAGAGACGCTAATCATAGGAAATAAACTGAGAGCTGCTGGAGGGGCTGGGGGCTGGGGATGGGTAACTGGTTGATGGATGTTAAGGAGGGCACAGGGCCACGAGCGCTGGGTGTTCTCGAAGGCTGATGAATCACTGAGCTCTACCTCTGAAACTGATAATATGCTGTTTGTTAATCAATAGAATTTAAATTAAAAAAATGATTTTTTAAAAAGATGTGATATGTATTACTCAGCCACGAAAACAAATGAAATCTTGCCATTTGCCACAAGGTGGATGGAAGCAGAGGGTATTATACTGAGCGAAATAAGTCAATCAGAGAAAGACAAATACCACATGATTTCACTCATATCTAGAATTTAAGAAACCAAACAGATGAACATAGCGGTAGGGAAAGAAAAATAAGATAAAAGCGGAGAGAAGGAGCACCTGGGTGGCTCATTCAGTTAAGTGTCTGCCTTTGGCTCAGGTCATGGTCACAGGGTCCTGGGATCGAGGCCTGCATCAGGCTCCTTGCTCAGCGGGGAGTCTGCTTCTCCCTCTCCCACTCCCCCTGCTTTTGTGTGCTCTCAAATAAATAAATAAATAAATAATAAATAAAATCTTTGGGAAAAAAAAAGAAACAGAGAGGGAGTTACGAGATTCCTAACTATAGGAAATAAACTGCAGGTTACTGGAGGGAAGGTGGGTGGAGATATGGGGTGACTGGGTGATGGCGTTAGGGGGGCATTTCATGAGTACTGGGTTTTAAATGCAACTGATGAATCACTAAATTCTACCTCTGAAACTAATAATACACTGTATGTTAGCTAACTTTAATTTTAAAAAAGTTAAAAAGAAAATAAGACCATTATACTATAATCTCCATTTAGGGACACCCAGTGCTCATTAACGAATTAGAAGCTCTGAGAGTTCTGTTGTTAAAAAGTGTATTTAACCCTCTTTCACTGATTTCAAAATTTGCTTTGGTCATGGACTGCTTTTTAAGTACCATATGTTACTGTCACAGGTAAGCAATATTCCAGAAAACATTCTGAGGTATGAAATTCTAGGGTAGAAGCAGTAGCATTTTGTAGAGAAAGAGCATCGAGAAAATACAGCTGTGGGTTTCAAGGGAACAATCTGAAGAAAGTACATAGGGAAAGATTGGAAGAAAATAACCCAAATCATCAGCTGGTATTTCTAGCTGGTGAAATTATGGATACCTTTTTTATTCTTTGTTCTTTATACCGGCTTTCCCTGACCCTTCAGATGAGATTAAACTCCCTTGCTACTATAAGCTCAGTAATTTCTGTTTCTAACTGATTACCTGTGACCGCCCTCCTGCCAGGACAGAGACTGTCTTCGTCTTGCTCAGGGCTATCTTGCGATCAAGCCCCTGAGGCTTTCTGGACTCGACCGACCGGAAGTAATAGCTTCATGTCATGTACAAATTCCTATAATGAACTTACGTTGTTTTTATGATACATAGGAAAATGGAAAATTGTCAAAATTGTCAACTGCTCCGGAGAGTTCTAGACCTAAAACAGGATTTTTGTTATGCTTTATCATTTCTTAATTTTGTGACATTTGGCAAGTACCTTAACTTCTCTAAGCCTCTGGTTACCTCTGTGACCTTGGAGATTGAGTATTTGTTCCACTTCCCAGACAAGATTGCTGACAAAATCACAGGACATCACATTTGAGGAAGGATAGGGAGGAGCACATTCAGACAAGGGAAACCCACACCAGATGCAATTAGGCAAGAGACTGGAGGTGGGGGGGGGCGCACAGTGGGGGAACTGGCAAGAGACAAAGCTAAGGTAAATGCAGGACCAGATCTGTAACCCTGTGATACTGTTAAGAAGCTTGGATTTGTTCGTGTTTTTTTTTTTACCTTTTTATTTTAACTGCAGTTAGTTAACACACCATGTAATATTAATTCCGCTTGTGCAGTATAGTGATTAACACTTCCATACCTCACCCTGTGCTCATCACAAGGGCCCCCCTTAACCCCCATCACCTGTTTAACCCATCCCCCACCCCCTCCCCTACGGTAACCATCAGTTTGTTCTCTAGAGTTAAGCATCTATTTTTTGATTTGTCTCTTTTTTCCCCTTTGCTCGTTTGTTTTGTTTCTTAAATTCCACATATGTGGAAAACAGTATGGAGGTTCCTCAAAAAGTTAAAAATAGAACTACACTCTGATCCAGTAATCCTACTACTGGGTATTTACTCAAAGAATACAAAAGCACAGATTCAAAGGGTTACATGCATCCCTTTATGGCAGCATTATTATTATTTTTTTATTAATCATTTTTTTAAATTTATTTTCAGCATAACAGTATTCATTGTTTTTGTACCACACCCAGTGCTCCATGCAGTCCGTGCCCTCTCTAATACCCACCACCTGGTTCCCCCCACCCCCCCCCCCCCCCACCTCTTCAAACCCTTCAGATTGTTTTTCAGAGTCCATAGTCTCTCATGGTTCACCTCCCCTTCCAATTTCCCCCAACTGCCCTCTCCTAACTCCCCATGTCCTCCATGCTATTTGTTATGCTCCACAAATAAGTGAAACCATAGGATAATTGACTCTCTCTGCTTGACTTATTTCACTCATTTTTTTTTAAAGATTTTTACTTATTTATTTATTTGAGAGAGGGAGAGAAAATGAGCAGTGGGGAGGGGCAAAGGGAGAGAGAGAGAGAGAAGCAGACTCCCTGCTGAGCAGGAAGCCCGATGCAGGGCTCCATCCCACAATCTGGAGATCATCACCCGAGCCAAAGGCAAAGGCTTAACCAACTGAGCCTCCCGGGCGCCCCATATAGCAGCATTATTTACATAGTCAAGATACTGAAGCAGCCCAAGTGTCTATCCACAGGTGGATGGATAGAGAAGTGTTATGTATATGCAATGTAATATTATTCAGCCATAAAAAAGAGGGAAATCTTGCCATTTGCAACAACGTGGAGCCCGAGGGTATAACACTAAGTGAAATAAGGGAGTCGGAGGAAGCCTGGACTCGTTATTGAAGATTAGGAGCCACTTCTGGAATGTCTGAGCCGTGCTGTGACTGGGTCCCACCTGCCGGGTCCAGCCTCTCCCCTGGATGAAATCCAGCTGCCTGGTGGCGGCAGGATCTCACGAGGCCATCTCTGCTGCAGACAGAGGCAGAGGTGTCTAACTCTCCACTCAAAACAGCAGCTGTGACAAAGTGTCTTTGAGGACAGGGCATCTAAAGACGTCTAAGCATGAAGCTCTCGCTTTCAAGGTGGAGAAATTCATCGGATCACAGGTTTAGCAGGAAGGCTTCTCATGAGGACGCTGGACCGGTCTCGATTTCTCAGAGACTTCTTCCACGAGTCCAAGCTCAAGGACACAGTTTCCAAAGAGCAGAAAAGTGGTTATGACCATACCTTCTCGTTAGAAAGCACTTTCAGGTAATAAGTACGTATTTTATGTTTCCCGAGCTCGTGCGACGCATCGCGTGTCCTCAGGCGGGCCTGCACTGATCACTGTCTTGTTTCATGCTCCCTCTTGCCGCGCCTCACACGGACTCTTGTTATTTATAAATACAGAAGCTAAGGTTCAGGGAAGCTAAGTTCCTGGGCCAAGATCACAAAATTAATCAGTGGCAGAACCAGGCTTCGAACCCGGGGGCCTGACTCAGTTCTAAGCACTGCAGGGTTGTGCGACCTGCCTGCTGTTGTCCTGGGAGGCCTCGAGGCGGCTACTCTCTCCACATCGACGAGGTCGACGGCCGTGCTTGTGTCTCCTTGGGAATTCAGGCCTCCAGGTGCCTCAGTGTTTCACCGAACTGTGGTGCCTCATCCCCCTGTTCTTCCTTCCCAGTCACAGGCCAGACCTTGTCTCTGAAGAACATCTCCACAGACATGTCGGGTTATTACATCTGCACCTCGAGCAATGAGGTGGGGACCGAGTCCTGTAACATCACCGTGGCCGTCAGACTTCGTAAGAGCGGGTTGGGGGCAGGGTGGGTCAGCCTCAGTCTGACCGAGGCCCGAAGGTCACTGGTGCGGGGTCCAGAGAGACAGCTGAGGGAGCCCGGTGGCGGTGAATTGGGGAGCCTTTGTAGGGTCACCAGCCAGCAGGGTAACCGGAGGTGACCTCTGTCGGATGCTCCCCTACCTAGAGGTCAGTCCAGTTCCCTTGGTTCTTGGGAAGCAGAGCCTCAGACTGACTTCTGGAGACCTGCTCAGCCCTGCCTGCCTTTAGGGCCACTCAGTGGGCATGAGGGAAGTGTCCAGAGTCAGCTGCCACAGAGTCTGGACCACAGCTTCTGGGGCGGGTCCCCAGCACCAGCTCAAGGACAGACTAGAGCCAGAGCTGGCATGGCGGACAGCTGGGGACTTTTTAGGAGCCTGGGTCGCCCAGGGGGAGTTGGGACACCGATCTATTAGCCTGTGTGTCTTTGCGCCCACCTCCATCCTGACGAGTAGTCTCTAGACCCCCGTCTCCTCTCTGCAAGGCCATGCCCTTCACGGAATGTTACTGGGAGCTGGCAGCCCTCCCTGGGCTGGGAGGGAGGCTGGGCCCGTCCAGAGGCTTCCCTCACCATGGCTCCTCATCCCCAGAGGCCTGGGCTCAGGTCACGACTCGGGAGATGCAGCTGCCCTGCTCTGTCTCTTGCAGCTTCCATGAACGTGGCCTTGTACGCGGGCATTGCGGGGGGCCTGGCCGCAGCCTTCATCACGCTGGGCGTTGCCATCTGCTGCTGCTGCCGGGGGAAGGGCAGGGCCGAGGACGCAAAGCCGTGAGTGTTTGCGGACAGCCTGTGGGCAGGAGTGGGGGCAAGTGTCACAGCTCCTCATGGCCTTTTCCACTCACGCTGCCAGTGGGGACAGCTGCCCCCAAGTGGCGTCGCAGCCCTGGTGCTTGGCTGCAAGGCCCGTGATTGCTCAGGCTTCCTGCGGCCTCCAGGGGCCCACATGGGGCGGAGCTCGTCCCTCCTGGTCTAGTGGAACCAGCCTGCTCCTCTAACACTCTGAGCTCATGAGCCACCCAGCTGCCACCTTCCTGTCCACGCCGAGCCAGGCCTGCAGCCCGGGGTCCCTTCGCATCTGCACGGGTCGGGGCGGCAGGTCCAAGGGCTGCTTTTCCCCTAAGGAGCTCTAGGCCCAGCTCCCCCAGCCTGAGGGCAAACCCTTCCCCTCTATCCTCGCTGCTCCCAGGAATCGGATGATCTACCAGAAGCCTCCAGAGCAGGTGAGGGAGCTTCAGACAGAGCAGGAGGAGGACGACTACGGGCAGGAAGACCGCAGGAGCACGGGGCGGGGGTCCCCTGGCCACGTCGACCGGTGACTGGAGCCCGCCGCAGGCTGAGGTGGGGCGAAGACTGGCGTTCATTCCTCGGCCTCCTGCCTCCCCTCTCCTGGCCCCGTTTTTCTCGCCCTCCATTCCAGTCACGGACGGGACACTTCTTTCCTGCGTCATCTGCTGGAGGGCTTGGCTAAGGGGACCCTACCGGTGACTGACCCTGCCAAGTGCCCTCACCCACAGAGGGACCCCTTCCTACTGCCAGGCCCGCTCACAGCCTGGCCCTCAGCCAGGACCAGGCCGCAGCCTCACCTTCCTCTGTAGCTGGCAGCGCTCCCCGAGCCACAGGACGGATCCTGGGGCTCCTGGTCGGGAGCGACCTGAAATCTGCAGAGGCAGCCCCAGCTTCTGCAGAGCGGGAACGGCTCTGCTCCCCACCGCACACACAGCACCGGGAGGAGCCCCGGGGCGGTGCGGGGGGACGGGTTGACACGGTATATACTTGTTGGATACATGAGTCCGGGAAGGACTCCCTACGATTTATCAAACCTAAGTGAAAACTTAGGGACCCACTTTGGCCTCAAGCTCCCTTTCCAGCTCATCTCCCGAAACCCTCCGTGAGGGCCAGCTCTGCTCCCCTGCGCACTTCCTCAGTGGCCCGTCACTTTCTCCCTCTGGCTCTGATGCGCTTTCCATCGCCACCTGCCCCAAAAGGCCTGTCTCAAATCCCAGTGATAACCGGACTCTGATCTCCCCCACACATGGGAACAATCTTGTCACCTTGTCTCCAGCTCCTCAGCAGTTACCTGAGCGCCAGCCCATCCCTCGGCTAATGTCTGAGCTCCCTGGGCCGCAGCCTGGGCTTCACTTCCCTCCCCCCACCCCCCCCCCCCCCCCCCCCCGAAGCCCTCCCAGCCGGGCTCCCTCCAGCTGAATCTGGGCGCCTTCCCCTTTCTGGTCTCTCTGATGTTTGTAGACTCGCAACTGGCCTGTCTTGTCGCCCACTGTCGGAGCTGTGTCCCTGCTTCGGGCTCATGGCCCTGTGGCTAGTCTCACCCAAATGCAGTTTCCTGTTAAATAAACGTCATTCTCTTTTCTGGATGATCAGGAAACCAGTTCTGTAAATCTATCATCCACTTGTGATTAAAAAAAAAAATTTATATATATACACACATGTATCTCTTATATATTTTGTTAAGTTCTTTGCTTCATTCAAGTGCTATCAGTAATAATAAATGTCAGTGGAAATTCTTATTTCTTTTTTCATGCGGGGTTTGTTCACCCCGAGGGAAAGCACACGTCTTATGGGCTTGTGTCTACTTACCGCACGCCTCTTCTGCTTCCCAGGAGCGGCGAGGCAAGGTGACAGGGCGAGAGCGGAGTAGAAGGTCAGATCTGTGGGTTCCATTGCCGGTGGCCGCAGCAGGGTCAAGCGCTGTCTCTGGTGGCGGCCGGGACAGGACCAACCCTCCCTGGCAGCAGAGGGATATTCGAGGCGAAGTGTCGGACGGGCCGCGGCGGGCCTGGTAGTCCGTCCACAGGCTCCAGGGAAGAGGGTGGAGATGCTCTTGCCAGTGATGTCCCAGACAGGCCCCTCCTGAGAGAGGAGGAGGTGACGCTCCTGTTCCAGCCGTCGGACAGAACACGTGGCTCTCCCTCCTCAAAGCAGCATGACCCACAGCTGGTTCTCGCCTCCGACATTGTCTCTCCTGCCACACGTTCAAAGGCCTCTCTTCCTCCCTGTCCCTTCCCTGACTTCTTGTGCTCCTTCCAGTCCCAACACCGGTCACGCAGTACTGTCATTCCCGTGGTCTGTCTCCCCTAGGCCTGTAGGATTGGTGAGAGCAGGAACTGAATCTCTCTCACGGCCTGGCGCAGGCTGACACTGGACAGTGTCTGTTGAATAAACACTGTTTGGTGTCGACGTTTGTCGCCCGAGGTCATCTCCCGGTCCTCTACCTACTTTGAAGTGCTTTTTGGTCCTCACGGCACAAGGCTCTCCAAGCATGCCCTTGACAAAGCTGTGGAAGGGGAGGGTGGCCACCTCCCCCAGTTTGGGCTGGCTTATCCCTCTGCTCTGGAAAGGCTCCGAAGGTTCACATGCCTTAGCCCCAGGCTCGTGTGAGGAAATCAGGGAAATCAGGACCCATCACATTAATTTGATAACCTTCAATCAGGATCTGTTGCATTAATTTAATGACAAATCTTTCGTGCGCACCTACTATGTGCCAGACCTTGTGCCAGCTGCACAGTCTAGAAAGGTCACCAAGACACCATTACTCAGGAGGAGCTGAAGTCTAATGGAGGTGACAGGAACATAGTTACGGAAGATGGAGAAGATGCCACGGGAACACAGTGGGGACCCTGAGGGAGTTCAAGAAAGCTCCAAAGAGGAGGGGATGTTTGGTCTCCATCTTGAAGGAAAACCAGTGGTTTTACAAGTGGAAAAGGTGTGGTGCTGACAGGTCCATACTCCAGTGTGGGGTTCTCCTACACGAGCCTCAGATCACATGATCAGCTGGTAAGGCTGAATTTATTTCAATCCGGAAACAGTGGGAATGAGATGACTGCGGTTTCTCTCATAGTCAGAGTTAGCGATCCCAGTCTCCTTAGGCTGTCAGGCATTCCCTTCCCAACGCGTGGTTTCCGGCTGACCGTTCAAAGACAGCGTGCTTGAGAAGAGAGACAAAGGTCATCATTGTTTGAGGGAAGATCGTGCGCTAGACACTTGTTAGCCGTTTGAAACCGTTTTTTTGTTTTTGTTTTTGTTTTTTAATAATTTATGTGACAGAGATAGAGAGAGATCATGAGTAGATGGGGGGGGGGTGGGAAGCAGGCTCTCTGCTGAGCAGAGAACCCCATGTGGAGCTCTATCCCAGGACCGGGAGATCATGACCTGAGCTGAAGACAGAGGCTTAGCCCACTGAGCCACCCAGGCGTTCCTGAAACCGTTTTTCATACAATCCTTACTTACAGTTTCAAATATCACGGCCCATGGCAAGATGAGGCATGTGTGTTATCCCCTGAGGAAGGACTCTGGCTGCCCGGAGAGGTCCCTTCCAAGTACCATGAACTTGGTAAATCAGTCCACTCTTTACGGGCTTGTTCTTCAGTTCCTTTTGTGCATGCCCCCGCAGCACTGGCTTTCAAAGGCAGAGTGACATGAACCAACCTCACAGAGCCTGATGTACAACACTAACAGTGAACACTTGGACAGCACTTGCTCTGGGCCAGCCACTGTTCCAGAAACTTTCCACAGAGCTCATAATGCTCACTCTGGAAGTTAGGTGCTATTATTATACCCATTTTACAGTTGAGGAAGCTGAGGCCCAGTGAGTTTTAGCAAGCTGAATAAACACCGAATGTCACTTTGCTATTTGCCGCTGTTAAGCCGACCAGACCTGCCCCAGGCATTCTCACCCCCCGAGGACCATGCCCTCAGTTGCTTATTGAACATGGCATCAGAACAAGGGAAGCCAGCGATCTTCAAGGATCTGTCCTCTCTACATCGGTGAGCCTCACCAGGCATCATGTCATCTGGGGCGATTGTGAAAGACTCACCAGCCTCGAATGGTCAGGGCCCTGAGCACCTGCAGGGTGCTACTGGAAGTGCTGTCTGCGGGGGAAGGACTTCCTCGGGGACACCTGCTGTCGGCTCTTGAGTTTGCTCACGGAGATTGGGTCTCTTCTGGCTGACTTCCAGGAAGGCCTTTGCACCCTCCATCACAGACAAGGAAGCTGTGTCTCAGGAGACAGCGTCACCAGAGTTAACATAGCTGGTAGCTGGGAGGCATCAGAGTAAGGATGAGACTCGGTTCCATCTGATTCCGAAGACCACGCTCTTCCACTTGAGCACGCCCTCCCGACCCCACGTGCAGGATGACTGAGTGGGGAAAAGGCAGGGGTGGAGACTTACAGGCTAAAGTTACCTGCGAAAACACAGGCACTTCAGATAGAACACTATAAGCGCTTTTCCAAAAACCTCTGCATTCTACAAAATCACATGCCAAAAATAAGAGGACTTACAAGAAAATCAGGATAAGAGACAGACCACAGAAAACCGGTGGGACTTTGTAACCGGATCACTTTAAAACGACAATCCGGGTAAAAATACAGTGGTGTTAAATCTATGCCGTTTACAGCAAATATCATTGACCTTTGACCCTTAAGACCTTTTGGCTTTCATTTCTGTAGCGACTGATGTACCAACATTAAAAATGATCCAGGAAGTTCACCTAGCTATAGAGTTGCGGCGGGGGGCGGGGCAGGGAGTCTTTCTTTAAAAAGTCTGGCTTTTATCCAGTGTATTGATTTTTAGCTATCTTTGTGCTTATCTTTGTACTTGAATTCCCTTGTCAGGGTGTGGATGTATCCTGCCTTTGCCGGTTGTAGGAGAGAGCCAGGATATAGTGCAAAGTGGGTTTACCATCAGCTCGTGCTTTTTTAAAAAAACAATTTTTTCTTTTTATTTATTTATTTATTTTTTAATGCAAGCTCTCTTTTCGTATTCATCGGCTTCAGCCAACTTACGTCCTGGTGACGACGTCAAGTCTCAGTGGCAGACGACAACGAAGGGTTACTTCTTGCTCACACGACCTGCTGCCTCTAGCTCAGCCTTCTCCATGCCTTCCCCGTTCCGGGATGCAGGCTGAACATCGATGCAGCTCTTAGGACAGTGCATCTCACAGCAGAGGGAAAAGAAAAGGTGAGACTTTGAGAAGACTCATAAAGCTTCGCTTGGCCAGGGGTTCTGTTCCTTCTGCTCCTACTTTGTGGCCCGGAGAAAGTCACATGTCATCAGAACAGGGGCCCACCGCCCTTCTCAAGGAGAAATAGTGACTATATTGAACCATCAAACCACCTAGTACACCTTCACTGTTTCCTCCTCTGTCCTCACAGCTTCCCCACACAGTCTAACCCAAAACAAACTGGATCGATCCTTGAAATCACTTAACTTGAAGCCACTTCTTGAATGAAAGGAAGGTACTCGTGCAGTATATGTAGCTTTTTTATTAAGGCCACCAGGTATGGTCCAGGTCTTGTCC